TTTAATGTTCATGAATTTGTAAACTGCAAGCTGAAAAATTTAATGAGTTGCCCAACATTGCAATTCTGAAATTGAAAAATCTACCAGTTCAGCCTTTCCCACATCAGTAAATTCTCAGATGTCTATGCTGCTAATAATTCTTCTAGATAATTTTCCATCTGAATTCACTGATTCTGATCAACAAATTTATAAGGTCAACTAGTTTCTCCTTTAATTTAGATTGTGAGGCACCTGAGAATGAGGAATGTATTTTTGTTATAGAAGTATTCCTTGGCTTGCCAGGCTTTGGACACAGATAATATGGTCACCAAGTCCAGTAGTCTGTAACTCCAATTACAATCCATCACTGTTTTTATTGACCAAAACTCATTGTTTGGATTTTCACAGCAAATTTACTGAAAAATAAATGGATAGTGTCTTTGGTGGAATAATGGGGAGTATATAATCAACAAAATATATTCTGAGTATAGCCAATGTACTGACTATGGAACTTGAGCTCTGGGGAGAGGTGCAAGTCAACCAAATATTAAAATGTAGGCCCTAAACTAACAGTCTTGGTTTGGATTTTCTTCATCTACCCAATGAAGGTGATAATGAGATCTATCTACCTTAAGGTATTATTGTAGGAGTTAAATGAGACAACACATTAGAAAAACAGACTGGATGTTTAACATGTCCTGTCGGAGGATAATTATACTACTGTTATTAATATGGCAGGATGGTCCATAAGCAGTTAGAAAGATAAATGGCAACATGTAGGATTTAAGGTGTGCTTGAGGTTCAAATCTGAACCCTCAATCTTCAGTTGCATTTTTTTTGCACACAAAGTCCAATGATATTTTATGTGCCCTCTAATAATTCATGCTCTGTGTTCTTTCCATATGACAGACTGTTCTTTCCACCCTATGTGCTACTCTTTTGAGAAGACTTTCCTTGAAATGTGGATTTTAGCTTGCCTTCAAAGGATATCTTGATTTTTTTCATCCCATTATGTTATCACACATATCAAGAGTTAAAATTCCAGTTTTGGGTTCCCTTTAGCCTACAGATCTGTTTTGTGGGAAATCCAGAGTTGAAAATTTTTTACTTGAATCCCTCTAGTGTCAGAATAGTACTTTAAATTATTTTTATTTTAATATTTTGTTACCTCTGGGAGCATGTCTATCCTCTACTGACTGCTCTTTGTTCTACAACATGTGATATGAACACTATACATTAATAGTTATGTGATTGTATGTGTGCCTGTCTTTGTATGAGATGGATATTATTATTTCTTATTATCATTAAGACAAATTGATGATATGTGCAGTTCAGTGATAGTCTACAATTCCTCACAGCTGTATGTGGAAGCGAAAGACTCAGTATTTAAGCCCAGTTCCATTCTAATCTGAAGTGTGTGCTTTTGAATACATTACTGCTTACCTGTACGTGTATATCAATAATAAAAAAGATGAGATTATGGGATCTGAGGGGAAATATTGAAGTGTAATTCAGAACTTTAGGTACTTTTCTAGTTTAAAGAATGGTGACTAAAAATCCTGTTTGTGTGTGTGTAGACACACACAATGGAATATTATTCAACTACTAACAACACAAATTCTTCCATTTTCATCAAAATGGATGCAACTGTAGGACATCATGTTAAGTGAAATAAGCTGGACACAGAAAGAAATAGTCTAGTTTTTAAATCTTTGACTAGAAGCTAACAGACAAGGAATAAAATGAAAACATCACCTGGTCAATAAGGCCTCACTTATGACATCTTTCTGTCAATATTTTTAGGAGAAAACATGATGATGTTTCATAATCATGACCAAACACTCTACTGATGTGATTTTAATAGTTATTATTCTACTTCGCTTCAGTGTTTTATAACAATGTTGCAAATTTATGTTTCTGTTCTCAAATTGTAGTAAGCATGCTGCCTCACTATTCTAGCATCAATTACACATTTCACTAAAATGTATCTTCAATAATACACTTACCTTGGTCTTTGAAAACAAATGACAGTCAATCCTGAATAGTAAGTCAGATATTCATTAAGGGAATAAAGCATAAATATTCCAGAGAAATTCTCCTGCAGGTAGTGGTTAAAAGATTCTGAAGTGTCTAAGGCAATAAGTATGAAGGTAAAGACACTATTAGGAATTCATGTCATGAATTATTTTGGTATCCCTAGAGTAGTCTTTTGCCTTCTCATTATTAAAATTAAAAATTATAAGATTTTCTCTCCTACTTAGTTCACAGAACTGAGTTTTAAAATAGCAAAGAAAAGAAGGTATACAAAACAACTTGCTAGCAGATTACTACTTTAAGACACTCAATAGTTTCTGGCTTAGATATTTTCCCTGACTATGGTTGTAGACACCTAGAAAATCTTTGAGATGAAGGCCTGTGTTCAATAACAAATATTAAGATTAATAGGAAGAAATGATGACCAAAAGGCCCAGCGTGCAGTCTGGTCCTTCTAAAATGAAATCACCTAGAATCATGTTGGGCTTCAAAAAGTAATGCATGTGAACCATTAGGGAATTGTAGAGACATGGAGCTCTCTGGGGACGTCTCCTGTGAGGACATCTACAGCTTCTCATACCACTTTTCTAGGAAAGAAGCAATTAAACTACCTGTTGTATCTACAATCAGTATATCAAGTGTGCAAGCATATGTTTGTGTTATTTATATTATTTCTTATTCTTTTATTTCTAATTAACATATATTTTACTTATTTAGTAATATACATCCTTTTTAGTGCATAGCTCCTAAAATTTGGTCAAATATATTTTTATGTTGCTGCCATGACCACCAGTAATTAATGTCTTTAAACTTCTTTGTTATCAACCTCTTCTTTCACCCATTGCTCTTGAAAAACACTAAATTCATTTTATTCATATAATTTTGTCTTTGCAAGAATGTCCTGAACCAGAATTCTAGAACATACAGTCTGATTCTGGTTATTTTACTCAGCATAGTGTATTTGAGGTCCATTGCCACTTTTCCTCCATCAACAGTAATACATTTTTATTTTTAAGCTTTATTTCTTTACATGAACTTCACCTGTTGTTTCTTTCCATCCCCCAGCTGAGAAATATTTATGTTGTTTCCTCTGTTTATTGATAACAAATAACACTGATTTCGTTACACTTTTCTCCAAAGTTCTTTGTGTGAATGTAGACTTACATTTCATTTGGCTAACTGCTTATGAAATATTTCTTAGCATATTTTGCAAAGCCAAAACTATGTATACTGAAAGTTAAATAAAAACATTAAGGAAGGAAAACCATAGACCAGTATCCAACTTGAATATGCCAAAAACTGCTAACAAAGCAAATCAGTTGAACACATTAGCACACCTGTAAACCATGAATGTGGATAACTTATTCCAAGTGTGTAAAGGCACTTCAATAAGAGAAAGCAACCAATGTAATAAAACAAATTAATATGATGAAGGAAAACACTAATACCAAAAAATGTGTTGTATATGAACAAAGTTGACATTCTGAGATTTGATTATTGTTCACAGCTCTTTTCTATACTGTTGAGGTATAGTGTTTTTTTTCTCATTATTATTTCTTGAAATTTTTACTTAGTGGAGGGTTAAGCTTATGATTATAAAATAATCTGAAAGTACATCATTGTAAAAATTAAAATAAAAATAAGAAAGGAAGCAAGTTCAGATAAAAATTAAAATAAAAATAAGAAAGGAAGCAAGAGGGAGAGTGGGAGCATGGTGGGAGGAGAGTAGGATAGGAAATATCACTATGCTCTTAAACCTGCACATATTAAATAAATGAAATTTGTTTATCTCATATAAAGAAAAAATGGAAAAATGTAAACTGGAAACAATTATAAAGCTATTTAAAAATTTTAAAAATGGACAAAGGATTCAAGTAGATGCTTCTTGAAGAATATTTACAAAAATTCATTAGGCATATGAAAAGATGCACTACATCATTGAAAATTATGGAAATTCAAATAAAAACACAATAATCTAATACTTTACAATTACTAAAATGGCTATAATGAAAAACACTGAAGTCTATTGATAAAGATATGAAATTAGAAATCTGGTAGGAATGTAAAATGGTAAAGCACCTGTGAAAAATGGTTTGGCTTTTTTTTTATTTAGTTAAATTAACATGATTCAGACATACCAGTATTAATTATATACTCAAAGATTTGAAAGCAAGTACTCAAATATTTGTATATGATTTTCATAGAAATATTATTTACAACTGCCAAAAGTATAAGTAATCCGAAATTGTTAATAATGAATGAATAAAATATGGTGTATTCATCCAATGGAGCATGACTCAGCCATAAAAGAAATACAATGCTGATTTGTTCTACACTATTGGTGAGACTTGAAATCATTATAAATAAAGGTAGCCAGGCAAAGAAAGCCACATCTTTTTACAACAATTTTTATAAAAAATATTTAGAAGAGGTAAATTGACAGATATGAGCAAATCAGTGAAGACTGGGGATACGAAGCGGGGGAAATGGAGAGTTACTGTGTAGTGTTTAAAGATCTCTTTGAGGTAGGTGGTGACATAATTTTTCACACGTGTTGTGTATGCACTTCTTTAACTCATGTATTTGCTTCTCAGTGCTTTTGAGTAATCATTGTTTTGAATTACCTTTCAGGCATTTCATCACCTCTCCATCTTCACACTCTAATACTGAAGTGCTGTTGTGCTCCATTTGGGGAGTCATATTTTCTTCCTAGTTCATGTTTCTTGCATTTCTGCATTTTTAAGGCATTTATTTTTAGGCATTTGTGAAGACAACTGTTTGTTTTCTCCTCTGATGATTTTCATATTTGAACTATGCCTCTGTAGCTTAATGGAGTGTCTGCTCCTTCAGTGGACATACAGAGGCATGTGCTGGTTGGGGCCAGAGAGCTGCAGTCAGTGCTCAAGGGTGTTGGCAAGTGTCCAGTGTGACACACAAATTGGTCATGGTAAATCTCTATTGTCAGCAGGGGGATGTTATGATCACATTGGCTGTGTGATCACGGTCTCACCTAATCTCTGCGAAGACGATCAGTGTCTGGGGAGAGTTCACAGTGGCTACACATGCCACCTATGCAGGCCCTTGAACCATGCAAAGGATCTGTGCAGTCCTCACTGTGAACACAGACCCCTCTGCAATGGCGCACCCTAGCCACTCAGAGAACTCTGAGCCTCTAAAGCCAGACACAATAATTACCCAGAGACCCAGCTACACACTATGCCTTATCCTGCAGTCACAGAATTCCCAAAATTGTAGCACACAGGGCTCCCACAGTCACAGAGAGCAGGGGCTTCATTCTCAGCTCCATGACCCTGCTCCACCGATGGAGAGAGCCTCCACAGCAATCTCAATGTTAGTGGGGTCCTTAGATTTATACTGATAAAATCCTGTAGTTGCACATCCTCCAGTCACAGCAGTCTGTGCCTTATTAAGATGGCATTTCCTCCTTGTTAATCTCTGGGTGTCCTTGTTGGGAAGAAACAATATGCTCTCCCTTCACAGGCTTAGGGGAGCACTCTGTGCCTCCCTGGCACTCCAGACTGGGTTCAAAGTCAGTGTGGTCTGCAAGGTTCTCCCTCCAGCAATATCACCAGTGAAACAGGCTGCCACAGACTCCTCTCAGCTCACTGCAAGATGGCATTTCCCCCAGCCCTGAAACACATGTGGCTCCATGGCATCTCTCTTCTTTCCATAGAATTTCCACTGCAAACTTCTCTCCAACTCTCTCCTGGGAATGCAGTTATTCTATTTTTCTTCTGTTATCCCCCTGTGGTCAAATCAGCACGTGTTTTCCTTGTTCAGCCATCTTAGATACCTTAAAATTTATCTTTAATTAAAAACCGACCACACTCCTCTTACTTCTGACAAATTCCTCACATTCATGTGCTCTCTCCATGGGATTGTTTGTGTCCTTGTTTTATGCAAATGTCTGCATTGGCACATCACAGGAAAAATGTAGTGGGACAAATGAATAAAAGTATGCAATTTAAAAGATTTTGAGACAAAGGACCCAAAACTTTCTATACAGTTATCTTCATTCATGTATTACATTTCTGGACTCATTTTCATCTTACTAGCTAGCTGACTGTTGTAATGGTAAGACTGTGCTATGCTCTGGCCTCAGAATCAGCCCTTAAGGCATTTGGATCTGGCTAAAAAGCCATGAGTTTTTCAGGCATGGAAAGCCAAGACACTGTGGCAAAAAAAAAAAAATGTCCTAAATGAAAGATTTCTGTTCGTGAGATCCCAGCAGAAAGAATGGGCCATCAAAGAAGGAGGTACCTTTCTCTGAAGAAAGGAGAGAATTTCCACTTTGACTATGCCCTTGTCTAAATAAGGTCGGAGTTGGTGAACTCAACAGGCTTCCGTAGCCTTGGCAGCTCATGACAAGAGCCTCAGGTGATTACTGATGCCATAAATAAGAAAGTCAGTTGTTAAAACAACAACAGGAGTCACTGTGCACTTGCTCCCCATGTAGGATCTCTGTCCTTAATGTGTTGTATTATGCGAATTAACAGTAAAACTAGTATTCAAACAGTGCTTTATACTTTGTGTGTCTGTGTGGGTGCAAACTGTTGAAATTTTCTGTATATAAAATAATTAAAAATGAATCTTAATGAAGAATGGGATGGGAGAGGAGTAGGAGATGGGATGGTTTGTGGGTGGGAGGGAGGCTATGGGGGGAAGAACCACTATAATCCAAAAGTTGTACTTATGAAATTTATATTTATTAAATAAAAGAAAAAAATAGATTGTGCTATAAAAATTTAAATGCACTGTGAGTACATACTAGTACATTAAGATCACAATCCTAGAGACAATGTTTTTCCAGTGTTAAGAGAAATACTTAGGAAACTAAAGACACAGAAGCCTATAGCCAGACATGTCCACATACTTTTGAAAATGTTGGCAATGGAAGGGTTCATAAAGCAGTCACAGGCCATTGAGGTCAAGCAGTAACTTTAGACAGTGTCAGAGACTGGGAAAAACTCCTTTGCAGTACATGTATTTGAGAAGATGACATCTATACTCTATCAACAACCTAATACAACCATTGAAGTGATTGTTGAGGGATCAGAAAAGTCCATCAGTAATGGATTACTGAAGAAAAGTTCATGGGTTTGTGGAGACAAGATTCTAGCAAGCTCAAAATTCGCATTTCTAGGTTCTCGAATGATGTGTAGATAAGGAGAACCTGAAGTTCTGGCACTTCAGTTACTTCCAGCATGATGAGTGCACTCATCTATGAATAAGGAATCTTCAAAAAAATCAAGGAAAATTCAATTTATGAAAAAAAGCCACACAAGGAATTTAGTATTTTTACAACAAAATAAACTTGCTCTAACTTGATATTATATGTCTGAGCAGGATGTAATTTGAGGCACTAAGAACAATAAGACACCACTTTGAAAAGAGATCCCATCAGAGCAATATGAATGCTGCTAAAACTGAAGAACAAACATCAGATTTGTAGTGAAACTTGAAAGGGAGAATGGCAAAATCCTTAATGCTTTAGAAGTTATTGAGAACAACGCCTCCAGAGAAATCAATAATTAACACATGGATAACTTGTTTTAACAATTGATGAAAGGATATTAAAGATGAAGCTAACAGAAGCTGACCACTCACACTAATTTACAAGGAAAAAATAGTTTTTTTCATGTCCAATGAATTAAATTAATATCAGAAACAAGTCAAACTGTAGACATCTCAATTGGTTCAGTTTACACAATTATGACTGAAAAATTTAAGTGGAGCAAACTTTCTCCTTGATAAGTGCCAAAACTCTTGTGCCTACTGCATCTGAGGGCCGAAGTTTCCATGGAAAATTTTTTTTTTTAACTTTTATTTAATGAATATACGTTTCCAAAGTACGAATAATGGATTACTATGGCTTCCCCCCCATACCGTCCCTCCCACCCACAACCCTCCCCTTTCCCACTCCCTCTCCCCTTCCATTCACATCAAGATTCATTTTCGATTATCTTAATATACAGAAGATCAGCTTAGTATACATTAAGTAAGGATTTCAACAGTTTGCTCCCACACAGAAGCATAAAGTGAAAAATAATAGATGATTTTTTAAATGATGATGAAATCAGATCAGACCTATTGTCATGTTTAATCCCAGTGAGAGTCAAGTTGGGAGTTGATAGTTTCTATTCTTTTCTTTTTTTTCTTTTCTTTCTTTTTTTTTTTTTTACAGAGGATCAGTTTAGTATGCATTAAGTAAAGATTTCAACAGTTTGCACCCCCATAGAAACACAAAGTGAAATATATTATTTGAGTACTCGTTATAGCATTAAATCTCAATGCACAGCACATTAATGACAGAGATCCTACATGAGGAGTAAGTGCACAGTGACTCCTGTTGTTGACTTTACCAATTGACACTCCTGTTTATGGCATCAGTAATCTCCCTATGCTCCAGTCATGAGTTTCCAAGGCTATGGAAGCCCCTTGAGTTCTCCGACTCTTATCTTGTTTAGACAAGGTCATAGTCAAAGTGGAGGTTCTCTCCTCCCTTCAGAGAAAGGTACCTCCTTCTTTGAAGACCTGTTCTTTTCACTGAGATCTCACTCACAGAGATCTTTTGCCAGAGTGTCTTGGCTTTCCATGCCTGAAATACTCTCATGGGCTTTTCAGCCAGATCTGAATGCCTTTAGGGCTGATTCTGAGGCCAGAGTGCTATTTAGGGCATCTGCCATTCTATGAGTCTGCTGAGTATCTCACTTCCCATGTTGGATCACTCTCCCCTTTATTTATTCTATCGGTTAGTGTTAGCAGGTACTAGACTTGCTTATGTGCTCCCTTTGACTCTTAGTCCTTTCATTATGATCAATTGCGAACTGAAATTGATCACTTGGACTAGTGAGATGGCATTGGTACATGCCACCTTGATGGGATTAAATTGGAGTCCCCTGGTATGTTTCTAACTCTACCATTTGGGGCAAGTCAGCTTGAGCATGTTCCAAATTATATATCTCTTCCCTCTCTTATTCCTACTCTTATGTTTAACAGGGATCACATTTCAGTTAAATTTCAACACTTAAGAATAACTGTGTATTAATTACAGAATTAAATCAGTCATATTAAGTAGAACAGACAAAAAAACTACTAAGAGGGATAATGTATTAAGTTGTTCATTAACAGTCAGGGCTATGCTGATCAAGTCACCGTTTCCCATAGTGTCCCTTTCACTTCAACAAGTTTCCTTTTTGGTGTTCAGTCAGTTGTCACCGATCAGGGAGAACATATGGTATTTGTCCCTTTGGGACTGGCTTATTTCACTCAGCATGATGTGTTCCAGATTCCTCCATTTTGTTGCAAATGACTGGATTTCGTTGTTTCTTACTGCAGTATAGTATTCTAAAGAGTACATATCCCATAATTTCTTTATCCAGTCTACCGTTGATGGGCATTTAGGTTGGTTCCAGGTCTTAGCTATTGTGAATTGAGCTGCAATAAACATTAGGCTGCAGACCGCTTTTTTGTTTGCCAATTTAAATTCCTTTGGGTAAATTCCAAGGAGTGGGATGGCTGGGTCGAACGGTAGGGTTATCTTCAGGTTTCTGAGGAATCTCCAGACTGATTTCCATAGTGGCTTGACCAGTTTGCATTCCCACCAACAGTGGGTTAGTGTCCCTTTTTCCCCACATCCTCGCCAGCATCTGTTGTTGGTAGATTTCTGAATGTGAGCCATTCTAACCGGGGTGAGGTGGAACCTCATTGTGGTTTTGATTTGCATTTCTCTGATTGCTAATGACCTTGAACATTTTTTCATGTGCCTGTTGGCCATTTGGATTTCCTCTTTTGAAAAATGTCTATTGAGGTCCTTGGCCCATCTCTTAATTGGGTTGTTGGTTTTGTTTTTGTGGAGTTTCTTGATCTCTTTGTAGATTCTGGTTATTAACCCTTTATCTGTTGCATAGTTTGCAAATATTTTTTCCCATTCTGACGGTGTCTCTTCACTCTCCTGACTGTTTCTTTTGCAGTACAGAAACTTCTCAATTTGATGCAATCCCAATAGTTAATTTTGGCTTTGACTGCGTGTGCCTCCCGGGTCTTTTCCAGAAACTCTTTGCCTGTGCCAATATCTTGAAGGGTTTCTCCAATGTTCTCTAGTAACTTGATGGTGTCAGGTCGTAGATTTAGGTCTTTAATCCATGTTGAGTGGATTTTTGTGTAAGGTGTAAGGTAGGGGTCTTGCTTCATGATTCTGCACGTGGAAATCCAATTTTCCCAGCACCATTTATTGAATAGACTGTCCTTGCTCAAGGAATTAGTTTTAGATCCTTGATCAAATATAAGTTGGCTGTAGATGTTTGGGTTGATTTCTGGTATTTCAATTCTGTTCCATTGGTCTATCCTTCTGTTTCTGTACCAGTACCATGCTGTTTTGATTACAACTGCCCTGTAGTATGTCCTGAAATCTGGTATTGTGATGCCTCCGGCTTTGTTTTTGTTGTACAAGATTGCTTTAGCTATTCGAGGTCTCTTGTGCCTCCATATAAATTTCAGCACCAATTTTTCCAGATCTGAGAAGAAGGTCTTCGGTATCTTGATTGGTATTGCATTGAATCTATAAATTGCTTTTGGGAGAATGGACATTTTGATGATATTGATTCTTCCAATCCATGAGCATGGAAGATTTTTCCATTTCTTGGTATCCTCTTCTATTTCTTTCTTTAAGGTTTTGTAATTTTCATCGTAGAGATCTTTAACGTCCTTGGTTAAGTTTATTCCAAGGTATTTGATTGTTTTTGTAGCTATTGTGAATGGGATTGATCTTAGAATTTCTTCCTCAGCCATGGCATTGTCTGTGTATACAAAGGCTGTTGATTTTTGTGCATTGATTTTATACCCTGCTACTTTGCCAAACTCTTCTATGAGTTCCAATAGTCTCTTGGTAGAGTTCTTTGGGTCCCCTAAATAAAGAATCATGTCATCTGCAAAGAGGGATAGTTTGAGTTCTTCCTTCCCAATTTGTATCCCTTTAATTTCTTTTTCTTGCCTAATAGCTCTGGCTAGAACCTCCAGAACTATATTGAATAGCAGTGGTGAGAGTGGACATCCCTGTCTGGTCCCAGATCTCAGTGGAAATGCTTCCAACTTTTCCCCATTCAATAGGATGTTGGCTGTGGGTTTTTCATAGATTGCTTTGATTGTATTGAGGAATGTTCCTTCCAAACCCAGTTTGCTTAGAGTTTTCATCATGAAAGGGTGTTGTATTTTATCAAATGCTTTCTCGGCATCTATTGAGAGAATCATATGGTTTTTCTTCTGCAGTCTGTTAATGTGGTGTATCACATTGATTGTCTTGCGCACATTAAACCATCCCTGCATACCAGGGATAAATCCCACTTGGTCTGGGTGGATGATCTTTCTGATGTGTTGTTGCATTCTATTGGTGAGAATTTTATTGAGGATTTTTGCATCTATGTTCATCAGGGATATTGGTCTGTAATTCTCTTTCAGTGCTGCATCTTTTCCCGGCTTAGGAATTAAGGTGATGCTGGCTTCATAGAAAGAATTTGGGAGGATTCCCTCTTCTTCAATTGTTCTGAATAGTTTGAGAAGAATTGGAGTTAGTTCTTCTTTAAATGTCTGGTAGAATTCGGCAGTGAATCCATCTGGTCCTGGGCTTTTCTTTGTTGGGAGGGCCTTTATTACTGTTTCAATTTCTGTCTCAGTTATGGGTCTGTTTAGGTTTTCGATGTCTTCCTGGTTCAATTTAGGTAGGTTGCATGTGTCCAGGAATCTATCCATTTCTGATAGGTTTCCCTGTTTGCTGGCATACAAGTCCTTGTAGTAATTTCTGATGATTCTTTTTATTTCTGTGGTGTCTGTTGTTACGTTTCCTTTTTCATCTCTGATTTTATTGATTTGGGTCTTTTCTCTTCTTTTTTTAGTTAGTTGGGCCAATGGGGTGTCAATTTTGTTTATTTTTTCAAAAAACCAGCTTCTCGCTTGGCTGATTTTTTGTAATGTTTTTTTGGATTCAATCCTGTTAATTTCTTCTCTGGTTTTAATTATTTCTCTTCTCCTACTAGATTTGGGTCTGGTTTGCTGTAGGTTTTCTAGATCCTTGAGGTGAATAGAAAGCTCATCTATTTGGTGCCTTTCCAATTTCTTGATGTAGGCACCTATTGATATAAACTTTCCTCTTAACACTGCTTTTGCTGCGTCCCATAAGTTTTGGTATGTTGTGCTGTTATCCTCATTTACTTCCAGAAAGTTTTTGATTTCTCTTTTGATTTCTTCTATGACCCATTGTTCATTCAGGAGCATGTTGTTCAATCTCCATGTGTTTGCGTATGCTCTAGGGATTCCTGAGTTGTTCATTTCCAACTTCATTCCTTTATGGTCTGAGAAGCTGCATGGTATGATTCTAATTCTTTTGAATTTGCTGAGACTTGCTTTATGGCCTAGTATGTGGTCAATCCTAGAGAAGGTTCCATGTACTGCTGAGAAGAATGTATAATCTTTAGCTGTAGGATTGAAAGTTCTGTATATATCTGTTAGATCCATTTGGGCTATAGTGTCGTTTAAATCTACTGTATCCTTGTTGATCTTCTGTCCTATTGATCTGTCTATTTCTGAGAGTGGAGTATTGAAGTCCCCCAGTACTATTGTATTGGGGTCTAAGTCTCCCTTTAAGTCCGTTAACAAATCTTTTAGATAAACCGGTGCCCTGTAGTTAGGTGCATACACATTGATAATTGTTATATCTTCCTGTTGAATTGATCCCTTAATCATTATGTAGTGTCCCTCTTTGTCTCTCTTAATGGTTTTTGTGGTAAAGTTTATGGTGTCTGATATTAAGATGGCTACGCCTGCTCTTTTTTCATTTCTGTTGGCATGGTATATCTTTTTCCAGCCTTTCACTTTCAGTCTGTATGGATCTTTGTTGGAAAGATGTGTTTCTTGTAAGCAGCAAATAGATGGGTTTTGTTTTTTAACCCAATCAGCCAAACGGTGTCTTTTAACTGGACAGTTCAGGCCATTCACGTTCAATGTGACTAATGATAAGTGGTAACTTTGCCCTGCCATTTGCCAAAGATAAGTTCTAATATATGCTTTGAATTCCCTGTGATCTTTTGCTGTGAGCTTTCCTTCCTTGGTTTCCTTCCTTTACCTTCTTTCATATTGATGACCGTGTTTCTTTGTTTCTGTGTGTAACACATCTTTAAGCATCTTTTGCAGGGCTGGACGAGTGGCAACAAATTCTTTCAATTTCTGTTTGTTATGAAAAGTCTTTATTTCACCTTCATTCACAAATGAGAGCTTGGCAGGATATAATATTCTGGGCTGGCAGTTGTTCTCTCTTAGTACCTGGGCTATATCTTGCCATTCCCTCCTAGCTTGTAGAGTTTCTGATGAGAAGTCAGCTGTGAGTCTGATTGGAGATCCTCTGAGAGTAATCTGACGTTTCTCTCTTGCACATTTTAGGATCTTTTCTTTATGTTTCACTGTGGAGAGTTTAATTACAACGTGCCGTGGTGAGGGTCTCTTTTGGTCGTGTTTATTAGGGGTTCTGTGAGCTTCCTGTACTAGGATTTCTCTGTCCTTCTGTAAACCTGGGAAATTTTCTGCTAATATCTCACTAAAAAGGCCTTCTAATCCTTTCTCCCTCTCCATGCCTTCAGGAACTCCTAGAACCCGAATGTTGGGTTTTTTAATAGTATCCTGAAGATTCCCGACAATATGTTTTAGATTCCTAATTTCCTCTTCTTTTCTTTGGTCTGACTGTATCCTTTCCTGTTCTCTGTCTTCTAAGTCCGATATTCTCTCTTCTGCTTCTCCCATTCTGTTTGTAAGGCTCTCTATTGTGTTTTTCATTTGATCTATTGAATTCTTCACTTCAGTCACTATCCCAGTTTCCTGTTGTACTAGTTGTTTCGTTTCATTTTGATTCCTCCTTAATATTTCATTTTCACGAGAGAGATTTTCTATCTTGTCCATTAAGGATTTCTGTAGTTCAAGAATTTGTTTTTGAGAACTTCTTAATGTTCTTATCAATTTTTTGAGATCTGCTTCTTGCATTTCTTCTATGTCATCATCCTCATAATCTTGAATTGGGGTGTCTTTTTCATTTGAGGGCTTCATGGTGACTTCCTTGTTTTTATTACCTTGGTTTTTGCGTTTGTTATTTGTCATATTGGAGATATTTGGTTTCTTCACTGTGGTGCTTTTTCTTGTTATACTACGACTCTAGATTAAGTGGACTATCTGTTTTTGAGGGAGCCTTAGGGCTTGAGATGGGTGTGGCCTGAGAGCTCTGTTTGGTGTGCCTAAGGTGACACTCCCAGGTTAGGCGTGGTAAACCTCTCTCTCTCTCTCTCTCTCTCTCTCTTTTTTTTTTTGATTCAACAGGGAAGTTATTCTGCACAGCTGAACAAAGTTGGAGGTAGTTAGCAGGCGAATGATATACCCACAGGAGCCAGAGATCAGAAGCTCTTTCCCAAGGACCACACAGGGAATCTGTTCGGCCCTTAGAGTGGGCTCAAATTCTCCTTCAGTCTCCCACTGGGTTGCCAAAGTTACGGAATTGTAGCGTCTCTGGAGAGTGCTCACATGAATTCCGTGAGTTCTCTCCCCCACCGTCTCTTTTTTCACAGTCTCAGTTCAGTAGCACCATAAATTTACTAAGTCCTAATCTCCTGTTAATTCGCCCCACCCAGAGTCAGGTTTTTCTGCTAGGCTCAGGGCCGGTGCAGACCTGAGGTCGCTCTGCTTATGACGTATGTCCAAGATGGCGCCTGCTCTTTGTCTTGCGAGCCCTTGAGAGGTGAGCGGAGAGAGAGAAACCCGTGTCCATACCAGTCACCTTTTTTTTTTCCCCCTCTCTCTCTTCCAGTTAGCTTGGTGAAGTCCCCCCCGCCCCGGGGGTCGTTCCCTCTAGTCTCCTCTCTCCGCTTGCCTGCCGGTGTCTCGGGTTATTGAGGTTCGGCTCACCTCGCGTTCCAGCGCTGGTGTGTTGAGTCTGCCGCTGATGTCCCGAACTGTGGGCTCCCACGCTCTCCACGCAGGTCTGCTCCCCTTCCAGCGCCGATGTGTGGACTCGGAGCCCTGGACTTCCCAAGTCTCCCCGCTGTTGCACTCCCCTTCGAGCACTTGCGGGCAGACCCTGCAGCTTGCGCAGCTCAGTCCCGCTGCTCGGCTTCCGCGGCTCAGTCCCGCGGCTCGGTCCTGCGGTTCGGCTTTCGCGCGCGGTGGGCGACCTTGT